TGTATTCACTTTATTTTCAACTCATATACAATGAGAAATTTCATTTGCCTCCCACAATACTAAATCCTAAATAAATAAAACTTTACCATCAAATATAAAGAGGTAGGGTAACTTAAAGTTTGGTAAATTTGCTAGTTTTGTAATTTAGCTACTTAAATTAGCTAGCTAGTTATTTTTGTAAGTCAGCTCATTAAATTATTTAGGTAGTTAAGTTTTGTAAGTTAGTTTTTGTTTTGTTTTGTTTTAATTAGCTTGCTAGCTTGCAAGTTTTATAAATTATAAGTAAGTAAGATTCTGACACAATACCATTTTCTCTGTACTTTTCCACCCCTTGCTATTAGCAGTTTTTGGGGATGCAATACTCTTTCTTACATTTGAAATGAAAGATGTCATTTTTATAGAACTACAGAACTACAGGGACTGAGAAACCGAGATGATTCTCTGCCTCTCTCATTCTCTCTCTAGCTCTGCTTAAGTGAAAAGTGTAGACATTAACTTTGTATAAGGCACACCACAGACTGAAGGTAGAACTGAACTTCTGTTATTGAGATCAGAGGAAAGAGACGATTATTCCTCTGAGAGGCTTTAAGGTAACGGCTGTGAGGAATCCAACCATTACGCCAACATGAGCTAGTTCATTACCTCCTCGTCCCCCTTCCACCTTCGACTCTAAACACTCAGAGTGTTGAGTACCACTCATATATTCCAGCTTTCAATCAATCAATTGCAACTGATGTTTCAACATAAAAATGTGACAAGCTCTTGTATATTTATTTGCCCTGCACAAAGCCCAGAATTAAGCCCTATTAGTCTGTGAGTGGACAATAAATCAGCTTTAAGAGCTGAGGATAGTGATTAATGCAAAATACTATGACAGTGCCAGCCTGAGAGAGATTCTGATGCTCCCATCTTCAAAGTACCAGTGTGTTAATATATACAGAGACAGATTTAATGTGTGTTAATTACCTGCTAAATAAACCAAAACCAGTATTATCTCAGTGAATACTGCAACATCAAACTAAGTCTTGTCTGATAATCTTACAGTATATAATCCAGCATGAAGGTCTTAGGGAATTAGAAGATATTCAGAACATTTAATGTGGGCACTGAAGTACATGGTTATAATCTGGAATTATGCCAATTTTTCTGTAATCATATTCCATAACCACTTTATCCTGGTCAGGGAGACAGAGCCTATCCCGGGAACACTGGGCCTGAGATGGGGATAAAACCTAGATGGGATGCCTGTGCATAGCAGAGTACCATGCATATAGACATTCAGAACTGAACTGGGGACCCTGTAGCTGTAAGGCAGCAATGCTACCCACTGCACCACAATGCCACCACAGGTAACTGTATTTGTCTTAAAGTCTCACGCCACATATGGTGTGTTGGGTTGTGGAGAGCATTTTAAGTGTTACATGAATAACAATAGAAGCAAATTAGGCTTCATGTTTAGATCAACATGATGTCACACTTGCAAATTTAATAATAATTTGCGCAACTCAATTCATATGAAAAGTTACAAAGGTGGGGTGGTGTGGTGGCACAGAAGGTAGCGTTGCTGCCTCACAGGGCCAGGTTTCCAGATTTGATCCTGAGCTCTGCATACTGTGTGTGGGGGTTTCTATGCATGTTCTCCCTCAGTCCACATGGGTTTCCCTGGGTTCTCTGATACTTAAGATAAATTGCCCCTAGGTGTGAATGAGTGTGTGAATTGTGCCATTCAGTGGACCGGCGTCCCATCCGGGATGTATTCCCACCTCATACCCAGTGTTCCCTGACTCCAGAGCCAAAGTGGTTACTGAAAGTGAGTGAGTGATTACAGAGTTACAAAGGGTAGGGGTAGGGTTAGTTTTAGTGTTTTGCCTTCACCCATTTTAAATTCATTTAAATTTTTAATGAATGAGTTGCGTTTAGCTACAAAAAAAAACAAAAAAAAACAAAAAAAAAACAGCAGCTGTATGTCTCACAAATCCTCACAACAAATAAATTGAAGATGAAAAGCTTCAATGAAATAACTTGTAGTTTACTGTTTAAATAAAACTTTCAAATTCTTCTCAAAATTCTTCCCAATGATTTGATTGACGCAAAGAATGACACTGTCTTGTTATCATTCAGGTATTAAAAATTATATAAAAATTTTGGCTAGGGTGCCATCTGTAGTTACTGCTGGACTAGCGTAGTGTTTTTTCCATTTTCTATTTCCTTGTTCGAGGACACACATTAAATCAGTTATTCCCTGTTAAGTAAAATTCTCATTCATAACCATAACCACATGGAGACCTTCATTTTCTCCTTCAGGAGTGGATTAAAGGCTGACTTGAAAGAAGCTTGTTTACTTAGCACTATCAACCAAGTTTTGTCCACCCATGTGTGATAACACCTCATGATCTTCCGGTAAAACTTCTACACAACCTTGTTCCTGGAAGCAAATCTAGTCTTGTGTAATGGTATCCGGTTGTGTTTGTGGAAGAGAGAAAAAAGTCCTGAGCAGGAAAACGTGAAATCCAGACACTGAGGCTCGGGAAAACTTAAACAGTTCTCTCAATGAGGCCGGGTAGGTAGTGACAAAGCCTCCTCTTCTTCTCCATGCTGAACATCAATCAAACGCCATGCTCTGCTGGCCCAGAGGTCTCACACACACAGCGAGTCTCTTTCACCCCACATTTCTCACATTTTTAGCTTTGAACTCTATGCAGCCCCTGTTCCCTGAGGAGGTAACGCAAACACACAGAATAACTGACCCAGCTCCACCTTGAGCGGCCTGGTCGTGGGATACACTCTTCCTAGAAAGAATGGGAAAAGGTTAAAGCAGAGTCATAAGCCATGCAAAAGGGTTAGGCCTTCAAGTGTATTAGATTTTAGAACTTCTGATGAATTTATTCTTGAGCGCTTTTCAGATATAAACCCAAAACCATGCTTTATTAAATTTTTTGGCTCATCCTAGTTGCCACCTCCTTGCCATCACTTTCACCCGTTCATACATCCGGGTTTCTGAGCTTAAAAGAGCCCATACTAAAATCTGGCAATTGTATAGAAAAAGGATGTGACAAAAAAATTTCTTCCAGTATTGCTATTTAGAGAGTAGGATATGGTCTCTTCTTTCTGGAAAAAAAAATTAAAATGAAACCTATAATCATTGACTCCCACTGAAATTTGGCTTTGCTGTTGTATTATTGTTATATAAAATCATATCACACCATGCCCACACATAATTGCCTTTTTTGGTACATAATGGCCTTCCTTTCTCCTCTGTTGACCAGAGGGACACTAGCCAATCACGGGCATCTGTTAGCTCATGTACATACAGAACAGGGCAGTAAGTGCTTCCAAAGATATTCAGTCAGCCTGTCAAGTTACATAAGCAGCTTACCTAGGTAACAAGTAGGAACTGGATATGACTAAATTAGGGGGATGTAGTGTTTCTGCCTCACAGCTCCTAGGTTCCGGTTCAGTCCTGAGCATGGGTTGCTGTCTGTGTGGAGTTTTGCATGTTTTTTTGTGTCCACATGGCTTTCCTCTGGTTTCTCTGGTTTCCTCTCACCTCCCAAAAACATGCCAGTAGGTGAAATGGCAACTACTAATTGCCCCTAGGTGTGAATCAGTGTTCGAATGTGTGTTGCGATGAACTGGCATCCCAAACAGGGTGTGTTCCTGCCTCAAGCCCAGTGTTCCAGTGATGATGCAGTTGTGTATCTTATACAGTATATTCTCAATATATTAAATATACTGATATTAGCTCCACGTTAAGTTAGGTTTTTATGTGAGCAATTTTTAATCCAATACAGACTGTGCTCAGAATACAGTATGTTTTATGAAAAAATTAGCTTGAATTTGAAGAAAACATTTCAAAAAGCAGTGAAGCTGAGGTTGGGAGATGTGTGCGTCCTCTCCCAGTTCAAAAAGACGCTTCATGTATCTCAGTGAAAGCATCATCATACTCCCAGATTGGTAACACTTGTATAATAATTTACAATTAGTTTAAAATAGTTAAGCTTACAATACAAATCACAGTAGAATTCAGTAGAATTCCCATCAATTTATGTAAGTTCAGCATGCCTTAGCAGAGTTCTGGCAGTATGCATACACCTCTGTGCTTTAACTATCTGCTTTCACTTTTAACTGATTGACTTGGCATTCAGCATTCACCAGCCTGTGTGTGTGTGTGTGTGTGTGTGTGTGAGGGGTGGGGGGGAGGTTGGCACTGGTGGAGATGGGTACAGCATCTGGTAGTGTTTAGAGCCTTATGGAGAGAGCAGGGGATGGGGAAACATTGTTCGAATGGATCCAGAGATTCAGACACGCAACTGAGCCTCACCACTGAATAACAAACCATAATGAAGGTTTGGTCTTCCTGGAACATCTGGCCTGTGTTTCTGGCAAAGACTGTCAGGCTGGCAGTGGATGTGTAAGTCAAAATAAGTGCATATTTTATTGGATGATTTTCCAAAGAGGCCGTGAATGTTTAACTCTTCCAGAAAATATATCACACAAGCTCAAAAAAGAAAACTGGGCAAAAAATGTTGTCAGAACTCATTAGATGATCAAGACTCGTCTTCCAGAGTGACATCTAAAGCATATTTCTGATTTGTTACAGCTTGAGAAGAGAGAGAGAGATCTGAAGAAGAATCCAGTACACAGTGCA